GTCTCGCTACATCAGTTTCCAATTTTAAAGGAGAAAACTAGGTTTATTGATTTGATTAAACTTTTTGAAATTATGGATTTCCCTTTTGATTTTAAGTTCAACATTTTTAATTAATGTCGATTTAATTATGTACTTTTTCTCGCTTAAGATTTGCAAATTTATTGTGACTTACAAAGCTTATGCTTTAAATTTATTATTAATAATGTGGAAATGAATTTAAACTAATTAAATGTTATCCACAGGCTATCCTGCCTTTATGTGAAACGAAACTAAATCCATATTAATGGGCAAATGCTAACTGAGGGAGCGGAAAGAAGGCGCTCATGCAAATGAGCAGCGTTCTTTAATTTAATGAAGGTTACCTCCAACCCGAAGTTTACTTGTGTTGGATTCGCCAATGTGCCTCGTTAGGCGTCGACCTCTAGTGGTTTAGTATTACACTTGGGGAAAAATATTTCTATTGATTTATAAAATGATTATCAAATCAATATCACAGAAATATTAAAGTCAGATCAGAAAATTGCCTTATTAGGATTCCTTTTGATTTTTATTATAAAGCTCGGCCAATAATCCATATATTTTAGTAGAAATGATTGTTTAAAATATTAAAAAATTTGGCGAGTATGTAATTTAGTTAAAAAGGGCGAACTGGCAGAAGTGTTTTCAACCGTTCTCCAGTGGTACACATAATCCGACTTTTGACTGCCAGTCAATCTGCGTCAGTCAGTCGGGATGTTTTGGGGCGTGTCTCATTTCAATGCAGCTAGCAATTAAATTTGTGGCAGGAGCTTCATTCCTGCTGGCCTGGGGCCACTGCTGAGTGAATTAATTGCCGGCAAAGACCACGCAAAATGGCAGCAAACATCCCAGAGGCCAAGTTAGTTGAGCAATCGAGCGAACTAAGCCACAGTGGCACAAAGGCACGCACCGGAGAAAAATAGGAAACGGGATGGACTGCTGCTGGGGCAAACAAGCAACCCACCTGGTCAGGTGCTTTGTGGGCTCGGCTTGGCCGGCGGAAACCATAAAAGCAGCCGCATACAAACACGACGTTGTCTGTGCCAGACAAAATGGTGTCAAATGGCAAAAATGCATCGTAAACAAAAAGTAAATGAAAAAACTTTTCAAACAAGTCGAGGGCTGCGGCAAAAGTAGCAAGTTCAAATAAACAAGAAACGAAATTTTCACAAAGCAGCAGTTTTAAGATAATGTAATTGTATAATTGGCATAACATACACTCAATATTTGTTTAGGGCGTAAAATAGGTAAATACCACTTGAAAATATGGACTATGACCGAAAAGATTGCTTGATTTTTTTAATAAATAAATATTGGAAAATCTTTGTCATTGGGTGTTTTTAGTATTGAACAAATCGAAACTAATAAATAATTCATAATTTTGATAATCTTAATATGAAGTTAGGTTTCTGATAGAAAATAGAAAATGATTGTTATTTATTTACAAGTATTTTTTAATATTATTAGTGCACTTCGCAGGTCATATCTTTCGCATAATCCGAAACAAACTTTTCTAACTCGCCCCAAAACGGACAAAGACATTTTCTTGTTTCCCTGAAATGTGGTTGGCACTTCAAAGGACTACACCACTGCACACACATTCGAGACCGCAGAACAAGGATCTCGGAGGCGATAACTATGCTTCGAGGTGTCATTTTGCTTGTTTTGCCCGCATAAAACTTGAAACGTCTCTTCGGGTAGATTAAACACGCACACGATTTTCCCACACATACTTGTGCGGGCAGTGACTTATGTGTGCAAGAGCCATAAATTTATCTTTAGTAAGTGCATGGGACATGGGAAGCCCTATATAAGAAATTTGTCTGCAACGTGGACATTTATCTATAGAATAGTTAGTGCCACCACAAATTGGGCATCGATCTATGTGCTAAGTTTTACACTTACATCTTGAGCTAAAAATAACTTGTTGCGATCCCCTTAACACGCCACTTTAAGCCCTAAACTCCACGGCCTTTAAAATGTTAATTAAAAATAGTCCAACCAGCAGCAGGATACCTCCGCCCATCTGTCAGCTGTGGTATAGTTGAGATGTCAGCAGGCTTATCAGGATTTCAACATCACTGCACAGACACCCGGGCGGGTAGACTAAGTGCCTCCCAGCTGAGGGATTGCCGTATCTCTCTCATATACGCTGAACATTTAAAGCAACATGATTTCCCCAAAACTACACTCATTTACGGTTCCAGCCCCAAAAGCCGCAAAACGTTGCATATTTCATATGGAATTAATTTTTAATATTCTTTTCAAAAATAACCCATTTCTAATATTTAAATATTTTTTCTGGGATGCGGCTGCATTTGGTGACCGCAATCAATGGACCACAGTAGGCATAAATCAGTTGGAAAATAAATAATTTTTTTTGGTGGAAGACACCGCCCATGACATGAAAAATGTTTGCAGCTGCCCAGGAATATATGCTTAAAGTTGGTTGGGTCATAAATATATACACATACTCGAACAATGTGTACAAGTGTGAGTCTGCCACGTGGCAGGAACCCGTCCCACACATTTGGCAGTGCGAACGAAGGCGACGCCCCAGACATCAACTGGCAATTCATATGACAAATGAACCCACGATGGCTCGAGCTTTTCTCTAGCGACTTCTATAAAGTGAGCCCTTACTGCTAAATTATGCAAAAGGTGCGTGCTGCCGTAGTATTGCGCTGGAGTGGGCGTGGCAGTCGGTTCGTCCCGGCCAAGTGTGCTTTATTGATTGCCGACGAATGATTTGCCTTAACTCCTTTAATTGGTGTAAGGCGTTGGCGGATATTGGAGAGTGTCTAGACTGAAGGGATATCTTCTTCATTGGGGGTTGGGTTATGAGTTATTGATAGAGTTGTTGTGCGATTATCAAAATTAGAAACAAATTAAGTGAAATAGACTTTTGGAATTCGGATGTTAGGGGAAAATAAGAAAAAGTCTTCAATTGAGTTAGTTTTTATTAAAAGCAGGAAATAGCGCGGTATTACTTTTCCCCGACCATGATATGATTAGGTACTCCTTACTCAACCCGAAAAAACAGATATTTTGTAGCAAATGCATGGACTTTAAATGTACAAATTGTAAAGAACATTCAGTGATTTAAATCCATTTAAATCCATACAAAGTTAAGTTAAATCATTCAAACGATAACAAAGTAAGAAACTATGGGATTTTATATATTACCTTGATGCAATACCCGATTGTGTTTATAAATTTAAATTAAACTAAGGAAATGGTTGCAACAAATAATTCATACAAAGTTTAATGTCTTTTGACATTGCGTGCCTGCCGGCAATTATTTCTTTGTACAAAAGTGGAGCAGGAAACGACGTCGAGACAATGAAAGTTAAGCCCAGGTAGACACACGTAAACTCTACTGAGGAATTAAATCGAGTGACTTTGCTGCTTCACGAGAATGTCCTGCAACTGGGCATTGTGAGGGGGGTCTATGTGTTTTAAGCTTCCTTTCTCAGGTGAAAAGGGATAGAAAATGTAGTATTAAAAGTATGATACAAAATAGTGCTTATAGAAACCCCCACCACAACCTTACCTAGATCCGTCACTGCCTATAACTGTCTGTTGGCCAGGACAGTCGCGGCGGCTGTCTTAGCCAGTTTCTCTGGAAGAGCTTAACCTAATTTACAGCTCACATGCAACGACTTTGGCTCAAAATGTCCAAGTCCCTTGGCTTAGATCGATACGCGCTGTCGTGGCCATAAAATAAGTCGCAAAATAACACAAACAGTAACTGCTAAAGTGGCAGTAAGAGTAACTGTTGCAGTAGAAAACAGGCCATTAATATGGATTTTTCTCTGCCCAATGTAGCAATTATCAAATGGCTGCAGTTGCAATGGAGAAAGTGGGTGGACATATTGCCGCATTGAAATGCGACAAACCGCAATTTGGCCGAGAGCCCGGTACGAAACTATTTGACTAACTGGCCAATTGGTCGATAGCCCTGGGAACGAGGTCTGGCCCAAATGAAAATATTTACATGTGGCCATATGTGGAAGTGGTTAGTTTTTGTTGGTCGCATTGTGGTATTTGTCATGCGTTTTGCTGTAATTATAATCCGTTGTGAATTGCGTACATTGTCTATCTCAAACGAACAAGAATATTTTAAAGGGACTAAAGTTGGTCCGATTAATAAATATTTTAACAAACTTGTGTTAAATTTGCAGGTTACATTTAAATTAATCCATGAATATTTTTTTTAACATTTGAAGAAACTTGTCTTACCGGTTTTTTTTTAGACATGGTTATGTGCCAAATTTGTTTACACTTTGTTAATGTATTTATAGTTTGTTTATGGTTGGCCTTTCTTAAAAGTTAATAATTTTAAAGCAGACGCTTGAAAACAGACTCTGAAAATAAACCCAAACATTTAAATGTTTAATCTTTACATTTTTTGTTTTCGATTAAATGATAACTCATCTATTACCCCAATGTTTAAGAAGTGTCATGCGTTAAATTATTTAGATAACCTTTAATTAGTTCACTTTTATGGGCTCTTAAGTTTTTGTAATTTCGTTGTTAAAATAAGCAGTGAGCCACTGCAATGAAACTTCAAGCAGTGTTTAAAAAACTGCAGTCCCTAAATGGCAATATTCTAGCTTTTCAATACTTTAACTGCGAGCGACAAAGCAGTCAAAGCATAGGCTAGAACCAAACAACGACGAAAATCAAAGATCACCAGCAGTCGCCGTTTGTCTCGGGTATCTAATAGCCAGGGATCTTGACATTCCTATGCTCTATTTATAAATCTAGTTATTAACATATATTAAAGATTATTTAAAAGATTCTAGGAATGGCGATGTACTCTATTTTTTAACTTCTTCACTGCCTTTTGAAAACTTGGCTCACATTTTATAAATAAGTTTCACTAGGCTAATGCTATTAAGTAACTAGAACTGGCTTTACTTTAATTTCTTCCTGAAAATCGAATTTCCGACTTATCGGCTTAATATCTTTACTTCCAGCAGCTCCACTCAGAGTATCGGAGCACTTATCGTTGGCATGAATTTACGGGCAACTCGCGGCCAGAGGTTGTGCGACGGGCGCCAGCCCCAAACCCAAGTCAATTTGTCGGTAAGCGCCTTATTGTCAGTCTTATTTATTGATATCGCTCTGATTCGATTTTTTATTTTATTCTTTGCATCTACAGGGCCGACAAATGAGCCGCCATTGCCGCGACGGAAAAAATGTCCAGAATTAGCATATAAATCGCACGAGTTTATTATAGGATCGGAATATACAGACGCACGACGAGATGCCAGTGCTCATCGTTTGGCGAGAGTAAGTGTCAGTTCTGACTCCATCTTCATTATCTTGACTTTTGGGAATATTTAATATCAAAAAAAAAAAGTAAATGTCTTTAATGAAGAGCATAAAGGTTTTTTCTTGGGCAAACTATAAAAATAGTAATAAATGATTTTTTTTGTTGTTGTTTGGTATAATATTTTTTAGTAAAATTGTTTATGTTTATGTTTACTTCATAATTCCGCCTTAAGAAAGGCAGCAAACTTAGAAGAACATTTAACACTAACAGATATGTCCATTTAGCGGGTGATGAGAGTAATCAACCCGAACTTGATTTAGAGGTCCAAAAAAACCAAAGCCCCAAAAAGAAAACTGCCTAAACGTTGAGTCAACAAAATTGACTTGAGATTTTTAAGTTGTTTCGTAATTAAAGATAATATTTAAGAAACAAAGCTTTAGACTGGAGACTTCCACAATTCTAAACCGTACCCTGCGAACAAAGAAGACCAAAACTCGAAAAAATAAGGAAAGTATGAGGAAAATCATCAAACTACAGATTCTTCTCAGTCTACTTGAAATTTCTGACACGAGCGACATCAGTACGTACTCAGAATACCAAACATAAGTAAGTTAACTCACAAACTAAATAATATAACTCATGTCTACGACTATTCATGTAGAATGCCAAAGGCGATTCACTTATACACTCGAAGTTACTCAATTCCTTAATGAGAATCACATGGTCGAATCATGGTGCAATAATATCAATTAATCCCTTTTAGACGTGTACATTTGGCATAAGAGATTGAATTTGTGGTTTGCGCCAAAGAAAACAGTAGATAAAGGAGAAATAAAGTTGTTAAGTATTACCCGAGTGTGTTTGGGATATTACACAAGTAAATACATCTTTCTACTGCACAGAGCATCCGATTGGTTGGAGCCACGGAGGAACCTTAATTATGGCCGTATGAATCACTAGTTCACCAAAGGTTGCCGACAAATTACATGCAAGCTACGAATGGATTTATTTACTCGCCCAGTAGCATCTGAAGCATCTTGGATTACGCCAATGATGATCCTATGCTTAAAACCAAAGAGCTATTACCTGAATACGATCATAAGTTACTTAAGTCGTCCTTCTACAGTTATATGCACTGCATCAACAATCAACGACTATATTGTTGAAGCTGGAGTTCCACAAAGCAGCGACCTAAGGCCAATTCTATTCTTCCTTTTCATTAAAAAAAAAAAAAAAAAATAAATGAAACTGCGATCCTATGCCGGTCTAGATGCCCAACCCTGTTGCTCGGGTCACAACGGTCGTAAAGTGTTGGACTGGCATGTTCAAATAAACGAAAAACAAAAGAGTAAACACATAACTGTCGTGTCCTCCACTTACCTTGAATCCTACGGTATCCTCCAAGTCAGCAATGTAACGTATCTCGGCGCTAAGCTTGACATGCGTTTAACCTGGATAAAACACATAAATTTGCACCTGAAACTTAGAGCCAGTAGCTTCAATTGGAGATATGGACTTTAAAGTCCTGCCCAACAATTCCACAATCAAGGCAATCTGGATTTACGGCGCCCTGCTCTGTGGAACCACGATCAGCAACAACATCAATATCTTATGTCGCGCACAATAAAAAAACCTGCGAGAAATTACTGGGGTACCATGGTTTGTTCGAAATGAAACAAGAGAGAACGCTATAGTCGGGTGCCCCGACTATCAGATACCCGTTACTCAGGTAAATGGAGTGCGAGGGAGATGGAGATAGAAACTTTGATCACGCATAACTTTTTAACGAATGGTCCGATTTGAAAAATTTCTTCTACATTTCGATAGGTATTGATAAACACAATAAAACTGCATTTTTACTTTTCCGAAATATTTAAATTTTAAAAATCGTATATAGGCGATTGTGGGCGTTAAAGGGGGCGTGGCACCTTTTTGAAACAAACTTGCGCTGCGTAGGAACTCCTAAAATCTACATGCAAAATGCCAATCTTCTAGCTTTTATAGTTTCCGAGATCTCAGCGTTCATACGGACGGACAGACGGACAGACGGACATGGCTAGATCGACTCGGCTAGTGATCCTGAACAAGAATATATATACTTTATAGGGTCGGAAACGCTTCCTTCTACCTGTTACATACTTTTGCACGAATACAATATACCCTTTTATTCTATGAGTAACGGGTATAAAAATTGTAAGGATCTTGTCAGCTTTCCGCGTATAAAAGAATTTTCAGTTTATGGCCTCACAAACTTTATGCTCTTTTGACATTTCAAGAGCGCCGTGAAAGAAATGCAATTGCACACTGGCATTCCGAAATTTATAATAAAAAGTTGGCTTTTTATTATACTCTATAATTACTCAAGCCATCGTGAAATTAGCTTTCAAATAGTTGGCCTTGCTTTCTATTGTCGATTGAAATTACGCTAAAAGTTTTGCATTTATTTTTATACAAAAAAGGTACTTGGCACACATTTTTGGTTCCTATTAAGTTAAAAGAGTATTAAAGAGTATAACGTTTTTATTTGTAAGTATATTTCATATACCATACTAATGGGCTTATAAAGCCGAAGCCTTTACGGCACGTTTGGCATTAGGGTTAATGCGTATAAGCCGCGGCCCTCTTAAAAATGTCGACGCTCTCAAATGCCACAGGAAATACACAAAAGCTGCTCACAAAAAGTTTCATATGGGGTTGCTCCTTTCCTAGCTCATTTTCTCCCATTTCTCTCCAACGCTAGACTAATTAATAATGAGGCACACAGCGGGCACATGTTGCAAGGACATTGAGCAATGTATGCAAAAATCAGTGGCGTACGCAGATGATAGGACTTGCGTAGTTAGTCTCTTTGGATACAGTACCTAAATATATTCTTCGGATTTCTTGTTTTTATATTAAGTCAACCTTATTTTTTAAGCACAATTAATAAAAAAACTCAATTATTTTATTTTGAAATATATAATACACTATAATGATTTTAGAATTTATATCTCAATATCAGGCGTCTTGAATTATACCATTTAAATAAAATGATTTATGAGATTTTACTGCATTTCCGATGAGTTATTTTAGAAGACAAATATATGCTCCAGTAAATATATTTGCAAATGAAAAATCGGATAACTTATTGATTCTTTATTTTTTTTGACACTGTCACAAAATCAATTTTGACCTTAAAATTTGTGATAAAATATTAGCTTCTGTTTGGGTTCAAGTGTTTTAGGTCTATGCTTATACCCAATTTTCTTATTATATAAATATAAAACACACAATTAAAATTACATACATAATTCCTCTAGTTCGAATCCTTCTTATGCCGTAGCTGTGTGCATCGGTATGCCTGAGAGTGTGTTTTTGACATTGACTACCTTTAGCACCCTGACAATACATAATTAATTGTCTTCACCTGATGACGCACGTCAACAAGGCGTATGCATAATATTAATGAGCAGCTAATTAAGTATACAAGCCCTTGTATGTTTAACGCATCCATCTCTGTCTCTCTGCAGTCGGAGGAGCGTGGTGGCACACCATCGCGCCGCAGCAAATCGGAGGGACCACCCGTCGTGCCCAATGGACGTGCGTATCCCATTGCAACGGAGGTCGACGGAACCACAAGAAAACAGGTACACAATTGTCAGATGGATTACACTGCACGACAGCCATAGCACTCTGATTCAATAGTTGTCAATTGCGTAATCAAATACTTGTGTGTGCACTACAATATCGCGTGCGTGTGTCTGTATGTATGTTTTTTCCAATACCAGCATGCTAAAATTATTTAAGATATTCGCAAGGTTTATAGCATTGGATGAGCTCATTATGGTCGGCTTCCATCGTCAGTAAGAAAGCACACGAAATAAATTAGAGTTTAATGCGCAACCTAAAGTAATTTATAGCTCCCATTGGAACAATCGGGAAAATAAACGAAAAAAAAACTTCGTTGTTATTAAGCATACACAAGTAGTTTTAAACCATTTCAGAATAAAGGTTTTCATTTTATAAAAACGGAAGACTATATTATATAGCTGCCATATAAACTATTGAAAAATGTATCAGAAAATCGACATAGCTTCATTTAATCATCGATATCGAAATATAGACTTCGGCTTGCCAAAGTTTGCTACTTTCCTATATTTTTTCAAAGTCCTTTAAATATAGATATGATAGAAAATTTATCAAATTTGTTCAATGAAATAACATTTATCAACCCATTTTTATGACAAAGGTGAATTTTACAAAAATTCAAAAAAAATGTATCTCTTATAAAATAACCGTTTTCGAAAAGATGTATTTTGTTTGTTGAAGAATAACTTTTATCACAGACTTTTAAATTTAATGTAATACTTATTTAAAACTTCAAACAATCGATTATACAGGAATTTTAAGGGGTTATCCGGGTCTTGGAGCACGAAAAAAAGCCTATTTTCGTGAATTTTTTTTAAAGATCTTACGACACTTTCACAAATTTCATTTATTGTACATTAATGGTTATGGTTTGACCAACATTGTGTAAAAATTTGAACCAAAAATTTTTAAAATTGAGCCGTTGAGGCAGGCTTGAACTTGACCTCATAAAAAATTGTGTCCTTGCGGTAGGCAAAATATCTCCGCCAATTTTTATCTGAAATCAAAAAACCAAAATTATTCTGATAGTGTATGTGTCTCGCTTGTCCTCTACGAGCCATTTTTTTTTTAAATTAAAAATTGAATTTTTTGTAGCGCTTTTTATAAAAAGTGTCATTTTTTACGTAAATTTTGGCCATATTTTGGCTTATAAAATGAGTTGTAATAAAAAATTAAAAAAATCCCTCCGTTAAGGACAAGAGAATTATGTCTAAAAGAAGTGTGCAAAAGCAGAAGTTGATCGGTGCAATAGTTTTTGAGAAATCGTGACTACCGACTTCAAAAAAGTGGTTTTGAGAAAAACGCGTTTAAAGTGCCGCATCTGCCCGACGCCAGAGCCCGAATGGCCCGTTGTGACGTTCGACGAGCTGGGCCTTAAATTTCTCCCATTCCTACAGTTTGGCTTCGATCGACTTGAAATTTTCAGACAACATTCCTGAAACTTTGTACTATTATATAAAAAAGTTTGAAAAAAATGAATTTTTTGAAGTGTCAAGACCCGGATAACCCCTTAAGCGAACTTTGCTTGTTAGAAGATATAGTAAAATAGATTTCTCGCGTATTTATACCTTAAAAGCCTTAAATTTAAAAGCCCCTATTATTCAAGTTGTTTAATAGTCCGATTGTCATCCTTCGCATCCTTGTGCCACATAATGCAGCTGTAGCTGGAAAAAATCAGCAGGGATGTAGAGCCTGTCCCTGGTTTCCGATCAGAGATAGAAAGAGCCTCGAACAACTGGACCGAACTGGGTAGCGAGCAACAATTTCTATTTGGCGTTGATGCTGTCTATCAGCCAGCCACTGAGTCCTTAACACCGCACTGTCTGTCACTTTCCTGGTCCTTTTATTGGCAGATCTCCCTGTCCAGGACATGTTGTTGGACATTTGTAGTATGTCCCGCCGTTTGTGGCAATGGAAAAAATTCATTTAGTCACAAGAGCATGATTGCAGTGAGTGGGCGAAAGCACCATTGAGTTCTCAGAAAGATGTTAGTTAGACAGGCGTTTACTCGTTTAACATATGCATAAGATGTGTATCTATTTTTCGCATGGTACTTTAAAAACGTATTATTAATTTGCCGATCTGATTATGTTTGTGACTTGTAATATCTGTAAAAGGGGTTTTAATGTAGTTTACTCTGCTTTCTTATTTTTTTGTGTAAATGCGGAATTGAATGATTACAAATGATTAAGTATTTAATATTCCATAGCATACATTTTGGGGAAATTTGTATTAGCAGGCATTAATTTTTAACTTGTTGGTATTTTATGAATATTTTTTTTCACGATATTAATTTATTAATGGATGTATTCGTTTTCGTTGAAATATATTTTTGCTTTATTTAAGGGCTATGTAATTTAGTTTTATAAGTTGTTTTGTAAATAGGGACTAAAATCGAAACAACTGTTGTTTTTACAATCGGTTAAAATAATCAATATCAGAATGTTTCGTTTTGTGCCCTTTTTAAGTTTCTGTTATTAAAACATTTTGAAAATAAATTAAGTGACAATTGGGGTCACTGTGTTAAACAGCAAGCAATTAGTAATAGAAATTCAAAATTTTCAATTTATACTTGTATTGTGTGTATTTCTTCTCTCTCTCTTTCTCGTTCTCTGTTTCTCCACATCTGACTTACCTGGTCTGTTCTTCTCTATGTTAACTGTGCTCTGATTGTCCCGAAAAACCCGAACATTAATGAAAACTTAAACTTGGATTAATATTTATGTATTTAAACTTATCCTTACATTCAATGCGACATTGCAATGCTCTCTTTTCTTGTTCTCGTTCTCGTTCTCGTTCTCTTTCTTTTCTCGTTCTCTTTTATCTGAAACCCTAACTCCCGAACACCCATTTTTCGTTGTGTGATTCTGCTCTTCTCTTTCACAGGCGGGTGAGTCAAATGGGCTATTCAAAAAGACCATCACTAAATTGAGCACTGAGTACCGCCTGCAATTCGTTTGGCCCACTGTCCGACGGATTAAGGGCGGCGGCGAGGCGACGTCTAGGGCCGCTGCCGGCGATTATCCGAGAAAGTCCATATCGCTGGGCGCCCTTCGGTCCGGCGGCCAAAGTCACAGTCACACCCAAAACCAGAGTCAGAGTCTGACCCAAACCCAGAATGGTCACACACATCACACGATGATGGGTGGCGGTGCCGGCTTGCCTACGGTGCATAAAAAACGTACAACAAATCAGAAAGAAGGTGCGACAACAAATTGTCGTCGCTAAGCATTTATTAAACTTACTTAACAACCAAAAAAAAAAGAAACAAGTGAAACATCTCCTACTAGCGCATAGTTTCTTTCAACTACTATATGTAATACTAAACTAATTTACAAACAATCCAAAAAAGCGAGCGAACTAAAAAGAGTTTACCTTTGATTTTTAATTAATCATTTCTTTACTTAACCAACCTTACAAACTAATTCACGGCAGATTGCGTAACATTTTGTTTATTAACCTACGTAACTGTTGAGATTGGTTATTTTTCAAGATTTTTAATGAAAATTTGTGCCGTGGCAGCAGCATTGAACTAAAAACAAATAATCAATAGAAAAGTGTTGAATAGTGTTGGTAAATGAACGTAGCCTACAAGATTTTCTCTTCCCTCACCGCTGCCATATTAAAAATGCTAATTTGCCACCAAGCAATCGATTGAATTCCAAATCAAGTTTTTTATGTACACGTCGTAACTTTTCGCTTTCCTTTATACTCGAACTCGTACCTATAAATATGTATACTACAGATAGATATTTTCCTAGAACTATTATAACCAACATTTTAGTATAGTTTTCTTTTTTTGTGTACGTATAAGCCAATGTTTCGTTGAACGCTTTTGTAAACTAATGATTACTTTTATTTCAAGCAGTTAGCAAACTTATACTGTCTTTAAAATCTATTTCATATAGAACGAAATTATGCTAAATTCCATTCCAAAAACAAAACCCAAACCAGAAACTAAAAAGGTTGAACACATTTAAGAATATCTTTTTAGCCAAAAGCTGACGTAAGTGTTGAACCAAATTTAATTTTTATTATTGCTAAACCAATACAATTTGTTTTACTGCGAAGCGTAAAATTGCGTTGATCAATCAAAAATTGATAGGTTACTCCGGGTAATGCCCATTTGAAATGCAGAACCCACTAACACGCAGTGTCAGTGCAATTTTACGTGACGAATTGATGAATTGAAAATAGCAAAGTGTAGTATGAGCATGTTGTGGCCGCAGGTTGTGTGATAAATTCTGTTTTCATTTCAATCGAAGCGTAGGAGTTACTGCCTACGTTGCCTTAGTTTCGTTGCATGTGTGAAACGACAAACCAATCAAAATTACTATATTGTCATGCATTAAACCAGACAACCATTAATCAATCAGTCAACACGGCATCAACTGTATATTGTCTACATGTCATTGGCTAGGAGAATTGGCAAGCTTAGCGTGGGGTTAGTTCAGGCTATGGGCAGTAAATGTGAATAAAATCTTCCAGATACTAACAAATTTACAGTTCAAGCAAAGCGCATAGGTAAGGCACACGGAGACGGAATCAAAAATAACGACAACCAAATAGAATAAAATTAAAATTAACCCCTCTATATACGTATTTGCTAAATATTTAAGTGCATCTGCATCTCAGTGGCAATTAGTGGCTTCAATCGCAAACTGCTTTTGTCTTGCCTATTACCCTTGTGCGACGCCTTGACCTTCCAGCGAAGAGCTTGCATAGTGTACAAATTGGACGTAGTGCTTACAAAAAATACAACAAAATATCTAACAACTAAAATAATATGAAATATAAAACGCTGCATTCAACTCGAATTGTAAACACATATTTTATATAAGAAAATAATACAATAATTGGTTTGAATTTCGTTCTATATTCCAATCAAAAGTTACCAAAAATTGTTCAAACATATCCCCAGAAACTATTAGTTTTCGGTTCTCAACTCAATGCCAAACACAAAAATGATTTTCATTTGAAGTTTTCATTTGGCATTTGTCTCACCTGAGTAAAAGCTGACCACCACCCACAAACTAACCACCAAACCACACCTTCCAAACCAAATCACAGCCACCAAACACAACCCACCAAGGCGCTGCTTCCGGCTCATTTATTTGCTGTACAATAATATGAAATGACATTTCATTACTCCTGAGTTCAAATTTAGCGTAATCGAGACACTGCAAAAGAAAACCTAACCTTTGTTTCCACCTTTTTGGACTTTAGTTTCCTATTGCATTTTCTACAATTAAATTATACTTTCCCTTATCTTAATGTACCCACTGATGCCAGACATCAGCCAGAATCTGTATAAAGCTTTCGATCAACTTGGATTGCAGCATTAAATTTTGTGTCTGTGTGATTTCAGCTACTCTACATGAGTTGGAGCCCTTGGTTAGCGATACGGATGATAGAAAAACGCACGAGAAGTATGAAAATTTGATTAACATTGCCCTCAAACTGATTTGCTCATAGCTTCCGCCATTTTCATTCAATGATGACCTTCATAAGCCCACCCGAAAGTACAGCATTACCCAAAAAATAAATATCAGAGCCTACATTCATCCGCACCTGCATGTTGCAAGTGTTGCATGCTGCAGCCATCGAGATGCACTGCAGCTCTGAAGCTTGTGTAATTTCAATTAGCTAATGATCCCCTCGATTTGGTTGCAGACAAGTGACCATTGTGGAGCGCAAGATCACCTCGCGTCCGTTCTCGCAGGCCATCGACCAGGAGCGTCTCAACCACTTCATCACGAAAAAGGAGAACTTTGGCTTCGCCGATGCTGCCTCGGCCGCCGCAGCTCTCAAGGATGAGGTGGACAACCGGCAGCAAGCCGACGAATCTGGCCAGGTGGTCATGAACGGATCCGCACCGCCGCACTCTAAGCCGAATTTGGATTTGTGGTTCAAGGAGATGGTTGAGCTCCGCAAAAAAGCCGGCGAGTACAAGGTGAGACTGAAACCACTGGTTATCTTCCTTAGCTTTGGTCTCCATTTTAATTCTTTTTTAAAATCGCTATAATTAAAAAAAATTGTATTAGTAAAATATTTAATTAAACTGCAAAATAATAATGTTAATCACTTATTTATTGCTTTCTCACCAATTTATTTCGTAAAAAACTTATTTAACTCCAGTGTCGCGGCTGGGGCATAGAAATCGATCCGGAATTGTACAAGAAACAGAAGGATCTGTGGGATCAGGTTTCAAAACGCAGTTCACTTTCAGCACTTTCCCTAGCTTCGACTGTTCATAGGTAATGTAATTTTATTTATTATTAACGCCAATACAAGCTCTCATAAATATTCATGGAAAGTCTACAAATTTAAAAATAAGTTCGTTATTTGAGATATAAATTGGCTTACCATCATTGACCTTCTTAAGTAAAATAAATGACAATCAACATGCATTATAACTTTAAATTTCCGTCTTCTTGCATTATGTTAGGCCCATTACAAAGGAGGAGAAAGAACAGGAGAACAATAAGAAATCCACGCCATTGCAAAAGACCCAGAAGCCTCGTGTTCCTGGCCAAGCTTTCTTGATTGATAATAAGGATGAGATTTCAGCACTGCCAGCACGCTTTAACAATATACGTCATCACCTCGAACGCACCACGGGTCCGGGTAAGTACCTAAGATATGAGTGCATATATGCAATAGCGCAGGGTAATTTCTTTATTTTGCCCTCTTGTAGATGTGGAGGAGGGCGCTTTGTTACCCTCGCCCACGCGCGAGAAACTGATGCCGGCCTTAACCAAGCGGGAATCGGAATCCCAGCGGGGAAGCCCCAAAAAGTCCGCCTTGTCGAGGCACGGATCGCCCCAAAAGGGGAGTCCTCAGAAGGGCAGCCCTAAGAAGGTCCTCAAAAGTGAGTAATTCCCCGTTATTTCGCCACACGTAATCAGGAGATACACAGAATAAAAGCATATACTCCGATTTCAAATCCAAAGTTACCCATATATGAATAGAAAATGTACTCCTAAGCAACAATGACACAAGTACACAAAATGCACTCACGAATAGAGTTACAAGTTCGGGAACAGAACAGAACAATTGTACACGCTCCAACAATAAGTATACGCCCGTTATTAATGACTTTATTTAGTTCCTATGATTTTTTTTTACCATAGTTTGCTCAACTGCTTCAACCGTTTGATTTGCATTTTCCGAGAGTCGGAGGAGTCGATTCGGTTTTCATCCTTTTCAAGTGCACCGAAGACTTGTTGGGTTATGAGATTTGTTCACAGTCTTAATGTAGTTTTTTGTTAGTTCAATTTACCCATTTTTATTGAGGATTTGTCGGTTAAAAGTTGCATTTCGTGTTCTATTCTTAAGACATGTTTGTAGAGATCTCTCTTTCAGACATTGAAGAACCAAGTATTTGAGTCTCTCTCCATAAGTACAATTAAGCTAAGGTTATTGAGGTGCACAATTAAAAGGACAATCTCACATAATCATGCATTCATATAGCTTATATAAATATAAATCATTTCGGTGTATAAGGGCAATGAATGTTTGAGTGTGCTAGGCTGTAAATAAGTTAAAAAAGTGGCTGTATATTGCTCTCCTAGAGGCTTATTTTTTAAAAGGCTCACATTGTTTTTACTTTGGCTGTACAAACTGCTTTAATAACACTGATTAAATTTAAAAGAATTTATTTTCTTCTTAGCCTAATCAAAATGTTTCAAAAATATTTTTTAACTGGATTCTGGAGTTTGTTTTAGTTAGATTAATTTGGTAAGGGAATCATAACTTTATGAAGTCGCATAGGAGTTTTAAGGAATCCTGGAATTGTTATAACTATAAATAACAAAGTTAATCTATACCCTTTTCCTGGCTACGATCCGGGTTTTGAACTTTGCCTGAGTCTAGCCTAATATTTTCTAAAAGCTTTATGGATTTCATAAATTTTTAAATTCAATTGTAGCGCATTAGCACGAATATTGAGCAATAACTCACTTAAAACACCCACACAAATATCACCAGTAGAAAGAGCTCTCGACCAGCCGAACATATCGAATATGAATTTCTCTAGCTAAATCCGAATTTAAATTAAAACATACAAATCGTACTTTTATCATCAATCAAACCGCCACCACCACCAACCAACCATACAACAAAATCGAAAAAATAACGAATCAAACGACATGCAAAAACGAAAAACCGAAAACCGAACCATCCTCATCCGTATATGTGTCCATGTGCGTGCTGTTCAGCCCGGTCGCAATCCGCGGGTCCGGGCGTTGCTGAGAATGAGTCACCGAAGCGCCAGATCCGGTCGGCGAGTCAGGCGCCCAGCAGCCGTAAAAAGACGCCGACTACCGGAACCGGAAGCGAACGCAAGGCACGCCCATGTAAGTAGCCTTTTAGAGGAGGCAAAACCAAAAATCCCTCAGCCAAATATTTAAAACTCGACACTGTTCAGTTTGTGGAACGACGCGATTCCTTCGTTGCCTTTTTTATTTGATCCTAGTTTGCATACGTCATGTGTTAATTAGATTGTGTTCCAATTTTATTTTTCGTTGCCTTGATTTTGACTTATTTGCCGGATGTGTTTCTAGTTTAGTTAGTTTAACGATCACACCTCCAGTTTGTACGTTCTTCCAAATAAAAAACGTTTTTCGAGCGACCTTTTAGTTCAGTGTGTACTAAAACCAGTAACAAACATAGTAAAAAACAAATTACGTTTGGGTTTTAATATTTGTTAGTTTAGTCTCTGGTCATGCAGTTACAATTTTAGTTTTTAATTCTCATTCGTTACCCTCTTCAGTTTGGATCACTATTCTCTCTGTAATGCAGCGTTTGATTGGTCTTTCGAGTACATAATAAACTATAGTTTAGCATGTTAAGTGAACCGTTACTAACAACATCAAATAACTATTTAAAAAACCACTAAAACAATAAACGAATTAAACTTATCTGTAAGTAAGTAAAAGTAATACTAACAATTCCAGTTTGGTGTTGTGTCTAATCCGTTCGAATTTTAGTTTGTATTCCGTTATTTTCCTACTAACTTTAAGTGTTACTTTGTTGGCTTACATTCCAGACATCTGTAACATACATTTATAATCTAATTTTATGCGCCAAGCTAACCAACTATAAAAAATATTTGTAATGTACTAACTTCCTCTTTGGGGTTTCTTTTTTCCTGTAAGTCCTGTTCCTAAACTTAGGATCATAAAGCCAACATTGTGTTCTCCTTTCAATAGCTGCAATTTAAAGATATATATCGCTTGATTTATGTAAACTAACTCCTAGAAATTATTAACACAACTAACATAAGAAATTTTGGACGGCCACTTATTGATTTCATGTTTGTTTTTTAAGCTCCTAGTTTGTTTCTATCTTTTGCGTTTAAACTTTTGACTTATTGCATTCTCGACTTGTCATAAAACAAATACAACATTTTTAATTAAAATTTAACAATTTTTTTCACGTGCATTTTGTTTTCGGTGTAAAAAATTGTAAAACTTAAAAAAAATACAACGAAAATCATCGTAAAAAACAAATCCGAAAACTGCTTACGTTTTTATAGCCACCCTATCCACAACATTCCAATCCCGCATTAAAAGTAGTTCCCTGCCACCGTCCAACGGTAGAGTAGCCTCAGCGCCGACAGCAACTGCAACAGCAACTGCATCAGCAGCAGCAGCCCGAGCGGTAGCCGCAGCAACATCAGCAGCTAAATCAGCATTAAACGCTAATCAGCCTCATGCTAATCAATCACAATCATCACAAGCCAAGAGCGGCAGTGTCAAAATTACAAAACCATCGGCAACATCCGCCCAACAGCAGCAACAGCAAATGCGTAAGAAAGACAAAGATAGATCGAATAGTAGTTGCATTGGCAATGGTAGTCATGTTAGTGCTGGTAGCGGTAGTCAAGCAAATAGTGCCAAGCATATGCAGAACAAGCAAAAACAACAACAACTACAGCAGCAACAGCAACATCTAAAGAAACAACAACAACAGCAATCGCAACAGCAACACGATGTTGCAGCAGCAACAGCAGCAGCAACATTGGCTCATAACCCAACCCGGCCTGCAACCATCAACATCAAACGGCTCACGGTACCAGGTCAGGATAGAAAATTGGCTGAAAGTGAGTAAAGTTTTACCGAAAACTTGAACAAAAACAAATCTCTTCAATAAACCCAAGCTAAAAAAAATAAAACCCATTAACAAGTAAATAACACGAAAAATGCTGTAAAATGACATCTGATGCGCGAAATATTTGTGTTGCAACTTTTGTAAATCCCAAAACTTAACAAAATATATTAAAACGCTATTAATAATTAGGAATTTTCACCTTGGTCAAAACTTTTCGCCCACAATTAGTGAAAGCTTAGGCTTATGATTTTCCAATTGGCATCATTGATTAGATGAACATGTTTTTTGAATGAAAAAGCCGTGTGGAATCATTTGTGTTAAAAGATTGGTCTTAGAAAGTGTACATAATTGTAGTTTGATTTAAATTGAAATTATCGTTATTCCACTGGCTGCCTGTATAAAAATTTAATTTAATTTAAGACCGCCGAAAATATAAAAAAAATTAAACGAAATTCCAAATTTTTTAAGGCTGGAAATTGTGGGTACACCCAAAGAGCAAAATGTGTTGTTATTAAATGTTAGTTGTTGTTGTAATCAATGTATGTAAATGTTGTCTTTCAGCTGTGTGTCTATATTCATGTATCTGTAAAAGCAGTTGTAATTGAACCCTTTTCATGTGCGTCTCATTATTTGTAGATTTTTATTTTTATAAATTACTTCTCTGAATACCCTATAAACTATTCTCTATTTTTTTTGTTTGTGTACATATTTACAGTTGGTAATATGTCTACCTTAGCTGCGTGTAATATTTTATTTTGAAACAGAACCTAATCTACAAAACACAGATATTCATAAATTAATTAAGGTGCTGGGACTATTTAAAATATTTGTTTAGTTAGCAAACATTTTACAGTTATGGGTGAGTTATGAGAGAATAATAAATATAATTCCTTGCACTTCCATATATAGGAATATTTTTTCTTTTACTAAAATTGTAATATTTACAATTCTAGAAACAAATGTGTAGTGTTTGTAATTTATTTGTATCAGGTATCATCCAAATATCTCTGTCAGCTATCTTCGACGCCTTCGTTGTTGCCTGCCCTAAGCTAATCACCATTTAAAAATAACATGATATATGCCACACAAGAACTTTTAACAGCTTTACAAATTTATTTCAACATTAAAGTATTATTAGTTTGATTACTCCTCTTCGCATTTACAACTTGTTGCGTGTCCGTTTGTGTATTTGTGGCATGCTGTTTCTAGTACTGTGCGCTTTATACTAAAAATAATTACGAAAAAAAATAAAAATTCATTTGGTCTTACTAACAATTTGTGGCCTTTTAAGCTTCTGGCTTAATATATTTATGTTTACTAAGTTCCCTTGAGTTTTTTGTTTCCAAACTAAGTTACAAAAACAAAAGTTAATTTTGATTTTTTGTTACAACTACTAACAAGTAAAACTCAAACACAAAATTTGCTTAAAAAAAAAAGAAAGATTATGAAGATCAACAGCTGCGGTATCATAATGAAATAACTCAAACATAAAATGCGCCCATAATCAATTTAACTCCATAACGCATATTCCCTAAAATTGATTTGATTCCCAATTTACAATTATTTTTGGATATTTTCCCAACCAACAGACGAAGGCGAGGATGGTCGTGAGACTGCAATTTCCATTTCCAGCTGCAGCCCCCAGCCTCCCGTGCCGGAAGTACCCGAGGAGCCCCTGGTGAAGTCTCCACCAGAACCGACCCGGGTCAAGTCCCCGGAGCAGATTATAATGCGCTCTCCCGATCCAGTCAACTGGACGGTGCCACTTGACACTGGCAAAACCTTCACCGTCACGCAGAATGTCAAAGATGGTACAGTAAGCCTAAGGAGGTAGTACACTTCTTTGCGAATAATATTGATAACATTACTTTTCAAAATTCAATCGACCAAAAAGTGACAAAGATGTTTGCTAAATAGCGTATAAATTACTTGCTTTCTTTTTGTATTCATTTATTTCTGCCTGCGAAGTGTAATACTGTCCTTATTTAAACGGAAAGTTCTTAAGTTTATCCTTTTTTCGCAGGGGAGAACTACAGCCGACCTCAGAGCGAGATAAAAGCGTCGACACCGGTGGAGAAGCCCCCACCGCCACCACAATCGGCACCGCCACAACTAACCGAACAGGCTAAAATGGACGGTAAGCCATTAAGCACGCTTCAATAAAAAACGCAAAACTTCCATACCAAAAGCATCAGCGAAACCAAAAGAAGTCAACAAACAGAACAAAAACCAAAAAGTCAAATCGCTTTTACAAATATTTATATATTTACTCGTATTTAAATATATGTATCTGTATATGTATATGTATGTATCGCTACTCACAAACATCATCAAAAAATCGAATCATCGTTAGCCAAGCTCCAACTTCTTCAAATCCAAAAACCAAAAACCTATACCACACCAGTAAATCAAGCCAATCTCGATAAGCGTAAATATAAAGCAAAGTTCCCCTCTCTATGTATCAAACAAAAAGAAAATTGTGCAAGCCAATGCAATCACATAGCGTACCCGAAACCGTAGATCCTTGCGTAACATAACGAACACTATTTCCAAAACTATCTCCCCCTCCCCCCACCCTCTCGACCACTGCCATCCCGCCAGCCTGGAAGACCTGCAGTCCAACCACCAGTGCCGCGGTCTACGGCAAAACGCTGACTCCCCATGCCACGCCAGGCCAGCCGGGCGGGGCGGTGCGATGCACTGCCGCCCAGGACCAGCCGTCTCCACAGCCGGATGCTGCGATGTCGTCCTCCTCGTCGACGGGCACGGCCTCCACCGCCCGGACAACTGCCGCCGAGGTCCTGGAGAAGGCCCGCGACAGATTCGATCGATTCTGGGGCAGCAGCGCCAGCAAGGAGGAGAGCGTCTAGATCCTGGATACGAGGTGTTAGATCGGGTACTCAGTGCTTTTCAAGTGCAAAATGTATTCCTTAAGGCAGTTAGTTGGCCCTTAATAGCAAGCAATTATGATACGTAATAGACGTTATGCAATACCTAAACATATACCCCATTTATCCTCCCTGAGAGTGTGATTGCAGTGCGACATGGTTCTCCAAGCAAATGAAATTAATATTTATGTTCCAAAAATAATTTTCAAATTTTTCAAACCAAATTGGATTGCTTTTATGGTCACGATTCAATGTGCATTAGCTTATAAACTTGCTAAAAATTAAAACTTTCAGAATTACCATCATTTAATAAAGTTGTTAAAATCCGAGACATCACAAACTTTCCAGACTCTTTTTGAAAATTACTACAATTACTTAGTTTTTCCCATATTATTGATTAAACTTATATTAGCAAAATATATTTATTTTTTAAGTTAAGTCTTTATTCTATTCAAATTTTGTGCAAAATAATATTTATGATCGGTTAGAAAATATAAAAGGATAAATATGGAAAAGTATGTCGCAATGAAATCAGGATAAGGATATGAGAAATTTCCGTTTCGACTTGGCTTGAATAAAAAGTTAAATTCGCTTTTGGTTTCCTAGTTAATGTGCTGCAAGCAAATCTAATCAGGCCAAATGTCATCTAACGACACGAGCATTACAGCAAAAATTTATTTATGTAAGACACTTTCACTGCCTTTACCCAAACGGAAAACAAAATCAAACCAATGTTGTATACTTTGCAATTAACCCAAAAAACTTTGCAATATTTCGATATCATTAAACCATACAATTAAATATTTAAATGGGACAAACATCACCGCAAAGACCCGTCCAAAAAGTGAGGCCATTCGACACGAGATATACTCACATTTTTGTAACTTGCATTAGTTGAGTAACCAAGCCGTATATTTGGGTAATGCATAAGGTGATCTAAGCTAAACTGCTGATCCGTCATATACCAAAAGTTGATAATAGATTTTGCACATGAATTACAAAAGGAAAAAACAAAACAAGACAACATGATGTTAAGGATAATTTAAGATACAATTTGGCTAATACAAACTTAAGGCAAATGATGATTAAAACACAATAACACTACCCAAATATTGCGAAAAGATGAGATTATGCTTTGAAAAGCTGTGAAACTAGTTTCAGACATGCCTTTCTTATAAACCTATAACATGTCTGTAAAAGTAGCCGATATGAAACAAAATGATCAAATAAAATAAAAAAACTTAATCAATTCAATAATGAAGTCAAATGCTTCCCAAAGGGCAACAGCTTTGAGAACGTCGATGTAATTTTTACAAGAATTTGTTAGATTTGTTTTTTAATCTCTCTGAGTGTAGACAGTGCTTCAGTACAAACTTATTAGCAATTAAAACTCAGTTTGGCCGACATTTTTTTTCCAGTAGGTAAAATGCTTGAATTTAAACCTCGTAAAGGAAAAAAACAGAAAAAAATAAAAACCGTGTAAGCTGAAGTTAAAATTTCATTACCCATAAGTTGTGTGATTTACTTCAGTATTGAGCTTAATTGTTGCTTGCCTATATATATTTTAATAAAAAAACAAATGAACAAAACAAAAAAAATTAAGAAGGAAAATTACGACCTTCTATGGTATTTATAAACAGTTGAGTATTTTTTATATATTTTTCATGAATGGACCTGTTTGTTAGTTGAAATCGATGAGTTGATTACAGAACCTCTAAAATAGTTACCAAGTTAATGCATATAATCAAGTGCCCCTCAGAACAATAATTGTTTATTACGCTCAGTCTAAGAATTCAAACACATTCGATCCCGTCAAATGCATTAGTTAGAAATAAATAATAGGAAAACTAACTAAACTCCGGAAATTCTCAAAATACCAAAAAAACAATAAATATTATACGAAACAAACAGGAATGCACACTTACATACACAAACAGAACTATATTTCCAGTTAAAATTTGATAACAAAAACTTGACACCACTGAAAGGTAGACTATGGTAGACTCTTAAACTCATTTAGTTTTAAATATCGTACTTAAAAATTTTAGGCAACTTTAATATGAATCTACTTAAGAACGAACTTGATATATATTCTAGCTTGTTTACAAAAGAATATAAAATGATAAAAAAGAAAGAAAAGGAAAACCCAAACAAATTATAGCCCAAAAACGAATAGGCGCACTACAAAGGCTTTTCTTTAACAACAATGGGAGAATCAATTTTTATAAACACCTTATATGAAAGTCAAAATGAAAAATTTTATTTTTGGTTCACTCACGAAGTAAAATATTAAAAAACACCAATCAATTAAATATATTTAAAAACCAGACTTTCACGCCTAAATGCGCCCACAATTTTAAGGACTTAAAAAAAGCGTCATACGAAATGCAATAAAACCAATAACGATACACTCCAAATGATAATTTTTTCTAAATTGTCATAAATAAGGCACACCAAATAGCCTTTATAGAAATGCTAAATAACACAATATAATAATATTATGAATGTACTTAAAAAAAAGTGGCAGAATCGAATAAAAGAGAACTAATTGAAGTAATAAAATAGAGACCCGAAAGACAAGTGATGGTAAAATGATTATAACAATGTATGAACCAAATAAAAATGCATATAAACGTTTTAAAAACTATGTTTTAATTTTGAAACTTATAGGATAGAATAGAGGTTTGAAAGAAGACTTAAAAAGGAATTTATATATTATATATAGTGTACCAGGAATGAACACGGTCTCTTTATTTAACTTTAATTATTATACACGTCCTAATTGGTTCTTGGTTCGATCGAGACTGAGCTTCGCTGCACCACTAACCATACAACATGTTGTTGTTGGCTGCACGCAGGCAGCTCCATGATACAATAACATAAGGTAGTCTCGTCGGCAAAATCTGGTACCTCTACTATTATAACAATGAGTGCGAGTGAAATGGGAACTGTTTAGTAAGTGCGAGCAGAGCGACAATAGAATGTGTGGATTAACCCTTAGATGTTTCAGGGGTTTTTTTTGACTTTCATAATAAAACGAGTTTAATTTTTTTTTTATAATTTAATTTTTAATAATTTGGAAATTGAAATTAGGCGTTGTTTTTGTCTTTGAAAGATTCTTAATTCCTCCCACAGCGCTCTTTTTTCCAAACATTTTGCGACACAAATTGCAAAAAGTCATGTTGCTCAAGGGTACGAGGATAAGTAGCAAACACATTGTTTCACACCATCAAACGGCGTTGTCAATCATCTAATGAGGGCGACAGAGAAGGCAGCAACGGTAGGCGATCTGGCAGCCTTGGCGATGACGCATCAACTTCATCTGGATTGGGAAACGAAAGCCTTGCTCATTTTCTACAACAACAACAGGAACTGAATGAGCGTTTAGCTAAGCAACAATCAACGTTTTTGAGGGCAAACTCGGCAGCAAATGTAATGCACAACGAACTGCCAAAAATTCACATCAAAGTGTTCACTGGTGACTGGAGTGCCCAGCCTTTAAAAACATCTTCGAGAGTACGATCCATAGCAAGCAGCATTTGACAGCAATTCAAAAGTTCCACTACTTAAAAACGTATATTACGGGAGAAGCATCTGATTTGATTCGTCATATGCCAATAACGGATGCTGCTTACGAGGCTGCTTGGAATTGCCTAATTGATCGATACAACAGACCACGTCACATTGTCAACACTCTTCTGGAAACGTTTGTGAATCTCCCTTCGACATCCAAGGCAGACGTTTCAGTTCTGCGCAAGGTGACCGACGGAGCCACGGAGATTGTACGAGGATTGGATGCAGCAGGGCAAACTAACAGGGACTGCTGGATCATACACTTCACTCTGGCCAAGATCGACGCTGAGACTCGACGCAAATGGATTGAGGGAAGCCGGGAACTTGAATCTCCGTCTGTGGATGATTTACTCAAGTTTTTAGACCGACGCTGCGAGGAATTCGAGCTCAGCAAAAGTGACTGGGACATCGACTTCAAGGGTGGCCCACAACCAAGCAAAGCAAAGCGTTCGTCACACGCTTTAGTATCGATGGAAGAAAATGCTTGTGCGAAATGTACCTCTAAGGAGCACAAAATCTACGGTTGCCCAAATCATTGTGTTTCAACTGCCTTAAGCATGGGCATGTATCACGCAAGTGTGAATCCAAATTTACATGCAAGTTTTGCCATAATCGCCACCACTCTCTCCTACATGTAGATATTTCTGGATCGCAAGACGCTGTGACCACGACACAGCCACACATTGATGAAAAGCACATCTCAAGCGCTCCCGAAGATGCTACGGGGACCATCAGCCATATCGCTCGTGCGCAAGTGGCTCCCACAGCTGAGTCCTTGTGCAACGGATCAACAACGGCTACACGGCCCCAAAGGCTAAGGAAAAGTGCATTGCCAACAGCTCTGGTGTTTGTTAAAAACGCACAAGGATCGCACGCTACATGTCGGGTACTTTTGGACAGTGCTTCGGAACTGTCGTACAATCCAGAGAGGTGCGTACAGGCACTTGGTCTGTCACGCTCGCCCTCACGCATTTTGGTGTCTGGAATTTCATCGATCAAGGCAGAGACAACTAGAGGCTGCAGCACATTGGACATGCAGTCAAGGATCTCAGATCATACAATGAAGGTACGTGCACACGTACTCAGAAAAATTACCTCTACGTTAGCAAGACACGATATCGATGCCTCAGCACTCAAGGTATTCGCTGGCTTTGAGCTTGCGGATTCTGACTATCAATCGTTGGCGCCAGTCGATATTCTCTTGGGCAGCGATTACGTTTGGACCGTGTTCACCGGTCAAAAGATGTTCGACATTCAGGGCAACATCATCGCCATTTCGACCATTTTTGGATGGGTCATAACATCTATCATCACTACCGGTTCATCTACAACAACAATGCACACGGCTATTGACATTGACTCAACTCTTCGCCGCTTTTGGGAGCTGGAGGATGTCAACCAGGAATTCCATGGAAAACCAGAGGACGACGAAGTTGAACAGCACTTTGTGAAAACACTTTCTCGGGACTCAAAGGGGCGTTACATCGTCGAACTTCCTTTCAAAAACTCCAACGAACAGTTTTCGAATACATTTCAAGGAGATTCTTGCAAGATTCAGGGGTGTAGAACGCCGCCTAAAGAAGGACCCCGATCTGCACTCACAGTACGTACAATTTATTTGTGAGTACCTACAGTTAGGTCACATGCGGGAATTATCACCGGAGGCATTGACAAAGGGCCAAATTTTTACTTACCTCATCATCCGGTAATTACCCAAAAGTTAAGGGTAGTATTTGACGGCTCATTCAAGGATACGTATGAAAAATCCTTAAACGATGCTCTACACATTTTACCCAGCATTCTACGAAACCTCTTCTTGATTTGTATGCGTTTCAGAATGTACAAGTTCGTCTTTTCAGCAGATATTGTCAAAATGTATCGACAAATATTTGTGGCTGCCAACCATTGTTGCTATCAGCGTATTGTTTGGAGAGAAGATGAAAGCACACCTATCATGCACTATGAGCTTTCCACGGTAACATACGGCACGTCTAGTGCACCATTCTTAGCAGTGAGAGTCCTGGATCAGTTAGCTCACGACCACCAACACGAGTTTCCCACAGCTGCAAGGATGTTGAAGGAGCAATTTTATGTGGACGACGTACTGACGGGAGCACACACAGAGGAAGAGCTAATTCGCAATCAAAAAGAGCTGATCCAATTAATGAAATGTGCAGGCATGGAACTTGGCAAATGGGTCTCCAATTCATCACGTATCACTGACCGAGCTACTTCTACAACCGAGGTACAAGGCAAAGGATCCAATCCTACAGCAAAGGTTCTTGGCATTCATTGGGATCCAGAAGAGGAAACGTTATCCTACAAAGTTTGCCTAACACCAAACCCGGACAACACCAAACCCGGACAACACCAAACGCCAAGTGCTTTCTGACGTGGCACGCATCTTTGACCCGCTGGGTATTCTGTCGCCAGTGGTGGTGCAGTTTAAAATTTTGTTTCAAGAATTGTAGTTACTCGATCTCGGCTGGGACACGGAGCTTCCTCCAAAAATTACTGACTGGTGGAACAAATGTCGTAACGACTTACACATACTTCAAGAACTACGCCTGCCACGATTTGTAGAAAACAATGGGAATCACATCGAACTGCATGGATTCTCAGATGCATCCATTAAGGCATATTCCGCAGTCATCTACAGCAGAGTGGTACGAGCAGATGGCACCGTATCTGCTTCACTCATAGCAGGAAAAACCAGAGTTGCTCCGCTGAAGCAGCAATCCTTACCGCGTCTCAAGCTATGTGGCGCTTTGCTACTCAGCAGACTAATCTTATCAGTCAAGGATTCTCTGCAACACAAGGACATAAAAATACATGCATGGTGTGATTCAACCATAGTTTTGGCTTGGCTTTCACATCCACCATCGAAGCTCAAAACATTTGTAGCGAACAGGACTTCAGAAATACTCGACGCGTTGCCGCGCAGTGCATGGCATCATGTAAACACAAAGGAGAATCCGGCGGACTGGTTCACGTTGTAGCTTACGCATCACGCTTCATCCAAATAATCAGGGCCATTAAAACTGTAGCGCTGACAAATGGGGCAAGGCTCACCTATGAAAAGATTCAGGCTGCTCGCATTCTTTGCCTGCAAGAGGCTCAGAAATGCTTCATGGAGGATCGTAATCTTCTGCCGGAAAATAAACAAATTCGCAGCCGCTCCCAGTTGATCAAGCTCTCACCGTTTGTCGGCAAGGATGGCCTCCTTCGAGTTGGTGGACGCTTGGGCAACTCACAATTACCAGCTGACGTCAAACATCCTATATTGCTTCCGAAATCGCACTGCATCACAAGGATGATTTTGGAACACGAACACATAGCAAATCTACATCCAGGAGTGTCTGCTTTGTTTGTAATTACGGGTCAAAAATATTGGATTTTCGGCGCGCGTAACCTAATAAGGAACCTGGTACACAACTGCATAAAGTGCTTTCGCCAACGTAATATAACCGAGCACCAATTCATGGCCGATCTACCAGGGATTCGTATAACGGAGGCTCTACCCTTCCAGCACTCAGGCTGCGATTACGCTGGACCATTCATCCTCAAGGAAAGGACAGGGCGCAATCCCCGAAAAACTAAGGGCTACATATGTCTCTTCGTCTGCCTTGTAACATCAGCCATACATTTGGAACTGGCCACCGATCTTAGCACAGACACATTCCTGGCATGTCTTCGGCGTTTCATGTCCCTTCGAGGAAAATGTTCGCAAATCTTCAGCGACAACGGCACGAATTTTGTTGGTGCCAAACGGGCTCTAGATGAGATGCAGCAACACCTATCTTCGCAGGAGCATCAACACACCGTAACTCAATCGTTGCCCAATGATGGAATTAAGTGGAGTTTCATACCTCCCCATTCGCCACATTGGGGAGGTAAGTGGGAGTCATCAATACGTTCAGTTGAATTTCATCTGAGACGCGTCGTGGGAAAGGCCGTTCTAACCTTTGAACAGATGCAAACTCTGATTGTTCAGATCAGTGCAGTGGTGAACTCAAGACCGTTATGCTACACACCTGCCACTGACCTCACCTACTTGTCTCCGGCCCACTTTTTAATTGGCCGCCCATTCAC